CGTATTCCCTGCCTCTGTTCCTCACTCTGTACAGGGAGTTAGTTACAGGCATCTGTGCACCTATGTGATTAACTGTGAAGTATCTTGCTGTTTTCGTTTCAAATTATTTTTTCTCTTTTTTCAAGGGACTGTCTTTAGTTTCTACTGAATTTTCGTTTCCGCCCGCTGCTCAGTTTGGTCTCTTACACCGTGTTTGCATGTCTTATATCTTTTAAGCTGTTGATTAAATAAACAAGAAATACGATTCTGACAATCATTGCTAAGTATTATATTGAATTCAAAAGAGGCAATACTGTTTAATGTTACAGCTTATAAAAATGCTAAACTTAGTTTCAGGAAAGATGAAATTAATGTAATCTCAGAAATATACATAATTCGTTTGAAATGCCTCCCTCTCCCCCTGCACCCATCCTGTGTCAAAAGCAATGTCTGGACACGAACGGGCAAGGTTTCTGGGTGGCCATCAGGTGCTTTTAGTCCCCTGGCGGGAGTGATCAGAGGATGCCACGTCCATCCAGCTGGACCTTGGGGATGCCCTGTAAGCGTTTCCTGGAGCACAGTGCTGCTGTTCCACTCCCAGCCGTGGAGTGACCTGGCTCTCTGATCTTTTGCTTAGGAACCCTGGAGCACACAGCACATCCCAGCGCTCTTCTCAGCCTTCTGTGGCCTCATGGTTGCACTCTCCTATCATCTGAGCAGACAGAGCAGCGACCCCTCTGTTCTCCTGTGAGTAGCACACACAGACACACACACACACACACACACACACACACAGCTGTTCGTGGGTCCTGCAGCCTCGCTCTCTCACCAAGTACTCATCATGGTGGTTGGACTGTTTCTCTGTTTAACTTGTCACTGGGCAATGGGGGAGAAATGCAGGACTAACCAGAATCTAATGAAAACCAGGGGTCATTGTCTAGGGAACATTTAACCTTTGCTCTGATGCTTTCAGATTAAAACTCACAATGCCAGCAACAGATGGCCACAGCACCAAAGCACTGCTTTCGACTTCCCCTTGGTGAGCTCTGTGAGAAACACCAACTACAGCAAGTGCTGTCTCCTGGTCCACCAAGCCGCATCACTGCCTTTATACCAGGCAGCTCCCCTGGGGGGACCAAGACTTTCTTCTGCTCTGTTCTTTTTTGTTCTCAGTATGGCCAGTGCCTTCTGGGTTTAAAGTGAAGTCTGTGCCAAAGTTCTAAAATGTATTTGATAATCACCCTTAGTCATTTGAAAATACACTTTCCAACTTTCTATATATTTGTATCTTTTAAGTCTTTGATAAAATATCCACTTTGGAACGGAAAACCCTTTGTGTGATGCCAAAGTTGCAGATATCAGTCGATCAATCCAGTCAAGTATCAATCGGCTCATGTAATTTGTCCAACCTTAGGGAAGATACTGACTTCAGAGAACTGTAACTGTTTGGGGCCCAGAAAAAAACATAATTTTAGGCTGCCAAGTGCAGGAAGATGGAAGGCATGGAAAAATGGGGAAAAGTTAAATATGATTTGTACAGATTTCTCGTTAAACATTTTACCCTATGAGAATGAAGGTGAATGGGCTGGCTGAAGCAGAGAATCTTCATGATACAACGAATCCTCACGTGCATGGATGTAACAAGTTTCTCCGTGAGCCAGCTATTGACAGTGAGGGGTACCGATACTCCTGTGGTCCTTGATAGCTTTAATCAGGATGGAACTTGCAAATCCAGACATGGTCCTTGTGATCATTTGAACATGCACCTCTTTTTCTTTGTTATGAATTATTTAAAGGAGACAGTGCTAGCTTTGGCATCTGTGAGTGTGGGGGTCTCAGGTGAAGTTGTTTCCCTCAAACCTTGGAAGAGGCACATATTTTAAAAAGTAAAACCTGTGTGTTCTTCCATTTTCAGGTCCTTTATTCAATGCAGATTGTTTCATAAACTTTTACATCAAAATCTGGAAGAGTCGCCTGAAGACCCTCTCCCCAAGAAGATGAAAGATTCTGTGGTGAGACATTTGTGTTGTGTACCGTGTGCAAGGGCATCCCTTGACTCGGTGTGGACCAGGCCATTGA